AATTGACTCTACATTAGCTCGAATTCGTCGAGAGATTTGTCTCGACATTATTTTTCGAACGCGGAACACTTTGTACATTACTTTGCAGTAAATTACAGACATCCGCTCGTCGATTAATTTGCTACGGATGTCGCTTCGATTCATATCGACAAGAAAGATTGACCAGATTTATCGCGCGGATCACTTAAGTGGCTGCAGGTAAAGACCAGATGGATTTGCATGCAGCCGATTTATCCGTTTAAATACGTCCCGAAGCGATGCAGACTCACAACTTCAGCTCAAGCGGCACGCTACCTGTTCGTTCTCATTCAGTCGCTCGCACGTTCGTCCCGTTCTTCCTTGAGGGTATCGACGCAACGCTCCTCAAAAGATATTTTTAAAATCGGCAAGCTCGGAAAAAATAACTTGCAAACGTCGCTGGTTTCCTTTCACTACATTTGATTTGGCTCCTGTAACTTCTCCTCGGTTTTACGCGCAGACATTCGCATAAAGAAGAAGATAAGCGATATTTCGATATCGCGATATTAAAATATAACTTTAAATGTAGATCAGTGCTTGAATTCTGAACACTTAAAACATTTTTAACATTGAATGAAAATGTAATTTATCAATGGAGAGACCGAGCGAATTAAATTTTTCTTCCAGTATTCATTAATCCGTACATTTTCGACAGATCTCGATTAGCGTAAAAACTATGTATGTATTATGGAAGGAGATTGCGTTGATATCGAGGGAGTTTTTCCCGGTGGGTTCGATAGATCGGAAAATCTATTCAAAAGCCTCTCGTAAGCGCTCGCAGGCAGCGTATCTCGACGGTCGTGTAATATTACTTGGTAAACGCCAGCGGGCGGGCGGACGCGGAAAACGAGCGGGAGAGCAAGCAGGCGGAGGGACGATGGGCGAGGAAATTTGCAAGAAACTATATTTACGGAGTTCGTTCCGGAACATTGACCCACGGGAGAGAGAAGTTACACCGGTGGCTGCCACCGGGAGGTGTTCCGGGAGACCGCAGCAGCAACGGCGGCAGTTTTTCTTTTCTGGTGTATAAGCAAGAACCTAAACGCTCTTCTAAGCGTTCTCGCTCCTTGTTCCATACTCCGACGAACGGATGGAGCCGTGTGCGCGCGCGATACTTTTATTTCTGCCGGTTTATTGGATGCCGTGGACGTAAGGACGAAGGACCTAGTCTTTCGTGGGAAGAGACGGTGCGGTTTCTTTCCGCTTGGACGAAGGAGCGGACAGCGAAGAGAAAGAAAGAGGAAAGAGAGAGAGAGAGAGAGAGAGAGAGAGGGCTTCTTTCTACCTTAGCGAAACG